GGCCGCTCTTAAGAACTAAGTATGTTCGGATGCTCTCCACAAGTTGTGTTTTATCCAGGTGCCACTCCATTTTTTGTGTGTGTAATGACAATTATTTATATTAAAACATTAATTTTTAAAAGTTCTAGAGCTTCCGAGTTTGTATGAGATTTGAAACTGTGCTGCTTATATGGACTTCTAGGAATGGGATGGGGAACAGGGCAAGAAGAGGTGCTAGCTGGCGGCCAACCCCTCCACAGACTTGTCCACAGATTGGTTGTTCAATTCAAAAACGAGTTGTTTCTACTCTGGATTTATAATTTGAAATTGTTTTGGAACGTTTTTCAGGGAAGCTTCCAGAGCGAGGGTTATTATTCTGCCTTTGTAATGTAAGCTGGAAAGAGTTAAGTTCACCTCGTCTGCATTTCTGGTTCTTTACCCAAACGATGTCAGCACAGAACAGGGTATTTGAGCTCAACTGCCACATATTTGTGGAAGTTAAAAGACTAAATGAAAATCCTTTATTGGGGGAAAATAAATTCTTATTTACATCTCCCAAAAAATCTAGAAACATCCCTGTTGTGTTTTTTTTTTTTTACTTAATTTTTTGTGCTTTATCTGTGTTTTTAAAAAAATTGTACTGGGTTATAATGCATTTTATTAACACTATGTACATATTAGCTGCTTTGTGTTTCAGAATGGTAGTAATTGCTTTGTATATTAAAGTGATTCTTGTGAATTTGTGAATTGTCATAAAGAAGTGCTTTTTCTTACTGTAACCTTTGTGGTATAAACTGTTATAACTCCCTTTTTACACAAACATTTATGTGCAGTCACATAAACATGCTTTAAAAAACTACAAAGTCTCTTTTTTGAGCAGGATGTTCCATTTATGCTAATTTAGTGGCAAATGGTAACTAGACAGGACTATGGGAAAAGGCATATTTTAAGCAGACTATGGTGTCCTCTCATGATCTGCTGCCTGCTGTAAGTATTCATGAAATATTTTTCCCCAAAGGGAAGGCTTTTTTAATCTTAATTAAATTGAATTAGATTAGTGAGAGGTTAAGTCCTGAAAAAACAAAAGTTTCTCTCCCACTTCTGGTATTTTTAAACCTGCTTTCCATTATCCATTCTGGTGGCAGTTAGTTCCGTTGTTCAATAATATGTGAAAGACTTTTCCCTTTCACAGTTTAAATATGCTGTCTTTCTCACTTTTAAGCATTCCTGTAAACCATGTACTACTACTACTGATGTTAATAACAGAGCAGAAGAGAAGGCAGCAAACCCTGCAAGGATCTTGTAATCTGCGAGGCTAGATCCAAACGCTGGGATGAAAGCCAGAAGAACAAACTCAGCACTGAGGTAGGTAGACACACCTCCAGTGAAATCAAGGGGAAGCAGTAAGGTCAGCTCATTATGGCTGAGATTTTGTGGTTTTCACAACTGGGTGTTTTCATAATGCCATTCACGTACTTACTCAGAAAAATCTATATTTCAGTAATGAGGGAGAATCCCAAACGGGTTAGTCCATGAGATAAAAATGCAGTTTGGCTTGAATTTCGCACTGAAAAGAATCAGGTAACACAGATCCCTGTGCAATCAGTAGGTCAGCTGCTAAACCTGATTCCTCTAACACCGCTGCACCTTGAAGCTCTTTGTCCATAAGATACAGAGCTGAATTTCATATTCTGTGTCTTAATATTAATTGAACATTACTTTAGTTGCAATGACATTTTAGAAAAGTTTGTTCCCTTGCAGAATGCCATGTTTCAGGAATGTTTTCACAATCCCACAGCATGTTCACATCTTATCTGGTCACTTCCCTGTGAGTTGGATCCTCTCACTGGGGTGAGTGTTTTATTTCTCAAGAGACTATTTATGGATTGCCCCACTAGTCGAGGACCCATGCCCAAACACATCCTCCCTACAGATGAGTTCACATCATCTCTTACAAAAGAGGACCAATGCAATGGAACCACCCAAAGGAGAATCACACTGACTTCTCTAGTGCTGGGATGAACAGGGTGACGGAAGGTGCTTGGGCAGGGTGTTAGTGTAATTGCTAAACAGCCAGTGAAGCATTACCGTGCATCATCTCGTAGAAGAGCAGAAGCTCAGCTGGGACCAATGGGTTGGGACACCAGGGTTTGGATGTGTCATTGCGGAGAGCTACTCTGTGTGCTCAATCGCCAGGCAATTATGCATCTGCTATTCTGTCCTGCACGTCTGGCGCGGTTCACTCCTAACGTCTCGTGAACCTAGGTGTGACGGGAATATAAAAAAGCTGCAAAGCCCAACCTGGGGCAACAGAAAGCACTGCTTACTGCTCTGGGCAGGTGGGTGTTCGCGCTGCCCAGGGGGAAGGGGCTGTAGGTTTCAGCTGAGTTACATTCTCACTGTTGGTGCCTGCCCCTAAACATTGTAGCTTAAAAAGCAGCCAGAACTAATGTGCTTGTGGTAGTGGCCTAACCGCAATATTCCTGCATCTGGTCTCCTGAATCTGAAGGAGCACTGGCACTGCCGTAGCAGTTGGAGGAGAAGATGTCCCCTTGAGAGGTGCCGCTTGCTGAGCTGGGGAGAGGCCAGCAAGAGCTCAGCTCTGCAGGTCAGGGGCAAGGCACTCGCCTCAGCTGCCCGTGTCATCTCTCGCTTTTCTCCACCAGTATTTACTTATAGGCAGTAGCATTGCTTCAGCCTTCAAACACACTCCCTCGGGTTTGCATACAGCTGCTGTGCAACAGCAACACAGCAAAAGAAGCCAAGCCTGGTCTCTTTCCGACACATGCCTGCTCTCGCAGGAAGGCTACAGGCTGTGACAGCAGCAATGGGAAAACAAGACACTGAAAGCTGCTACGCAATTGGAAAGAGATGCAATTGAACTGATCCGTTTTAAAAGTACAAAACTTTTCCTATTGTCAAAGCAAGGCCTGGAACAAAACCCCCTTAAAAGTGTGTAGGTTGCTGCACTAAGCTTTATTCTGTACTACACTGGGCTTTATTCTGTGCTATTTAAGCAGGCTTTTTAAGCATGTTCCTACTATGGCAACAGCGCAAGCTGCAAAGGCTCTTGCGAGGGCCAAGCACAGACATGTAGCAGACTTTCTCCACAAACCATGTCACATGTACTCACAAGCCCAAGCACCAGCATGCTGCTTTCTGCCAGCTCTAGCCCGGGGGGAGCCTAATACACAGTGACCTCAGATGAGCTTGGAGACAAGGAAACACCAGTGGGGAGGAAAAGGAAGAGGAGTGGTGAGAACTTACAGCCACACTCCAAAAACTAGAGCCAGAGAGACAGTGGGGAGAGCTCGTAATTTTTTTCAACTGCTGCTCACCTGGTTGATAGGACAGAAAATGCCACGTCTGGCACATTAAAGCTCATATCATGTTCTGGTTTTAATTAAAGGTGCTGTCTTCCTTCCCTCAAAGGGACTTCAGCTCTAGTTGCAGACTGCGAATGCTCCACCAGCTGCATAAGTACTGTTTTAGTGACACCACGTGGCTTCTGAGGATATTGTAAGCGTTTTACAGCAGCAACTCTCGGGCCAAGTCCAGAGCCAAGCAAGGAACTTAGCTGAAAACATGTGAGACGTGCCAGGGATGAAGCACAAGACCTTCAGGCCTCATTCATGAGACTTGTAATGATAAATGTGTCATTTCAGGATTACAGTCTGCACATCACTTCTGAATGGCAGACCCTCTGCATCTTTTCCAGTTAGGAAGTTTAATGAAAGCAGAAGTGATGAAGAGCTCCTAATGTCCATGGCCTGAAGCAGCTGCTGGTGTTTGCTGTTGCCGGTGCCAAAGACATGCACATGCTTAAAGCCTGAACCTGACCTGGGGCTTTGTAAGTTAAGTTTAAACAAAAAGGTTTCACATCCACACAAAAAAAAAAGTACTGTAGCAATTCCTGCATTTAGAAGCATAGCCGTCTTCTTTTAGCCCATTGTTTTCACCAGTTTCATTCTTCTACCACTAGAAAGAAAAGGAAGTCTGCAGGTGGTGCAAGCCAGATTCCAGGCTGCAGCATTTTTCACATAGGATCTTGTGGGATAAACACACAGAGGTGTTTTTACAAGCTCCAGGTATGAGGTCAGTTACTTAGAACAGCATCTACCTACCACTGTGCACAGAAGGCACACTGAAATCTAGACACTGCCCCAAGGTCCCAAGTGATACAAGAATAAGTAACTGCCCCCAGCTACAAAGACTTTACAGCAGCACCCTCCTCTCCTAAATAATGGCTCTCAGAGACAGTGAGCCACAAACAAAGGCAGAAAGTAGAGCATTATTTAGTGGTACTTTGAGAGTCAAGGACTGATTTTATATTTAAAGAACAGTTTGAGTCTCCTTGTTTCACTTTCCCTGCTCGCACATGTACATGTGTATCTGCTCTAAGGAGCCTTGACCTGTGTGAGGGAAAGCTATCTTGTTAGGGACAACCCAAGAACCATGACTGCTTCGATACTGCAGGCATAGCCTCCACGCTTGCAAGTCAGGTAGAAACACCACTGATTTCTAAGTCAGCTTACTCTGCAATATTAATTCCCAACTCACCCACACACAGAGATCTTGTTCTTTGTTTCCCGATGCCTCTTCAATTCAGCAGTGACAGCAACAGAACAACTTTATAGCAGCAGCCTTTGTTGGTTTTGCCCTTTAAGTGGCTCCGTTACCACAACTTTTAAGATGCAGGAGGCCTGAAGAGTTAAAGCATTGAGAGCTGGAGTCTTAGCTTTTATTAACCTATTTTTAAGTTTCCCACAGAAATTAAGTGTGGTTTGATTTTAAACAACAGATCTTTTGATGACATTTTTGATGCCTGGAGATTGCTGCAACTTAAATCGGTGTCAAAAATTATATTTGATAAAAAGTCAGTGGAAGACCCAATACAACTCTACTGAGAAATGAAGCAGAGGTCCAATATGCAGAACAGAAGTACAATCCTTGCTGTATCAGACCAAGTGATCAGACAAGACCATCAGAACAAGAAACCAGTGAAATAACACAACTGCAATTATATGCTTAGGAACAAGTGTATTGAGTAGAAACAAGGGGAGGATTGAACAGCATCAGTGGTTTACTAACAAAGCATAGAGTCAAAAGTCATCCTTGCGACTACCCCTCTGTGCTTTGTAGATATGAACATCCTTACTGGAATCATAGTGGACCTCATATACAGAGAAACGGCCTCTCAGCATCTTCAAGAATTTGTGATCCCGTTCATAGCGGATACGACAGGAAAGAAGAATCACAGTTTGCTCTGAGCACAGGTGCTCCAGCGTCTGAAGCAGTTCTGCAAAAGTTTCTTCCAGGTAAACAATATCTGCACCCAGTATGAAGTCAAATGCTCCTGGAGCGAAGTTACCCAGGTCTTTTCCCCAAGTCAGTTCCTTCACCACAGCTCTTGGATGTAGTTCAGGTGGTAAGTTAGCCTGTACGTTTGACTCCAGGAACTCCAGTGCTGCTGCCCTGTCTGTGATGGTAACATGTGCACCTAAGTGGTACAGGAGTATATATATCTCAGAGAAATAGTCAATATCCATAAATACCGCATTTGGAATACAATGCTTTAAGTCAAGCAAGCTCCTTAGTTCCTGTTAAATATTAACAACTCCCCTGAGCTGCATGATTAAAAACAAACAAACAAAAGAATAAAACAAGCAAAAAGCCCACTATCTACATACATCCTACCCTTCATCAGTCACTTAAGAGTATAAAGTGTACTCCACATGAAGATTAAGTTGGGTAGGGCACAAAAAGTGTTTACTGGAGTTTCTTCTAAGTGCATAAAAGTAGAGGGGTTACTTTCTGCCTTTGCATAGGTGACAACAGAGTAAGTTACAGGGATTGTTACAATTAACCTGCTCCAATTCCGTATTTGTTCCGTAGGAGAGAGGCAGCTAGAGAGCCTCTTCCACAGGTCAGACAAAAGTTATGCCTGTGTGATTTTGCATGGCATGATTGTATTTTGTCAAACTGCTTTGTTTTTATTATTTCAATAGGCACCTTCCACAGCCACTAGAGCTTTGAATTACAAAGTTGACCTGGGACACTTAGCCCAAATTTAACATAATACCCAGTCCCTGCTTCAGCCACAGACAGATCACAGGCCAATCACTTCATTTTTCCAGACCTTGGTTTCCCTGTCTGCAAGATAGGCTAACAAGGCTTACGCAAGCTCAGACAGTGGTTTCTGTCTGTAGCTTTATCTGTGCTGCATGCGAGGACAAGTGGAAGACAGCAAGCACAGCACTTGCTCCCTCGAGGAGAGCAGCTGCAGAAGTGAATGCTGCTGAGCTGAGTACCATGGTGACAGGCCTCAGCCTTACAGGGTCCCACAATAAAGTAAACTGCAGTGGCACCATCGCTACAATAAATAACGCAGCAGGCTCTGAAGTCTAACAAGAAAGGAAGATGACTCAGACAGGAAACATCACAGTTCACATATGTAGCTTTGGTGCTAACTTCTATACTAGGCATGTAAATGTAAAAGTGCTAGTTTTACTACAGTTGTAAATTGCTTTAAACAAGCAAACAAAAAAGCCCTTACCTAATAAGGTGGCCACTATTCCCAGCAATCCAGTTCCAGCTCCAAGCTCAATCACAGACTGATCCCTGAGATCAATGCTTCCCATCTCCAGATAAGCACACAGGACAACAGCCTAAGCCAAGAGACAAGGGCAATTAAGTACAGGGCTCATTTCAGTCATACTGAACACAGGATTTCTGATTTACACAGAGAGAGAAGGTTATGGGAAGGGTCAGGCACTTCAGGTCTCCAGCAAGACTTTGTTCAGCCCTTCTCTGCCTCCTGTGTGCACGTGTGATCTTTTTACAAGTTTTATGGAAGACTCTTATAGGCAAAGGCAAAAAAGAACCACGGAGGCTACAACTCGGATGTGGTAACACTGCTTCATGAATCCCCAAACAGAACAGGAGGCAGAAAGAGTTGCATTTGGAAAGGAAAAGCTGCAGGGTGTCAAACACTGGTGAATGAACACGGTATTGCAAAAGTCCAGGATAAGTTTTCATGGTATCTTGCGTGGTATTTCAAAAGGTTTCTGCACAACACTGGCATGCTGTCAGGAAGGACATAGGGAAAGTAAAGTAGTGACACTTCTATCTGTTTGTATCTGATGTGTTATATTCTACAGGAATCTTGATAAGGAGCTCTCTCTGTAGCAAGTTCTGTCAAAGCCAATGTCAGGAAAGACAAACAGCCATGTGCACCAATTCATTTGATGAGTTTGCTAAAATTGCCATGCTCGTTCTTTAAAACTAGAGGTAAAAGTAAAATTTGTGTGTGGACAGAGGCCAGACTGACGGGAAGCCCTTGGTACCTAAAGTGGTACTGTGACCAACTGCCCTGCAACCTTGGGCCCACCACAAGCCCCTCTGTTTTGGGCGGTTCTTATCCCCAAGATATCAGCACTCCTTCTTGACACTACAAGCAGCAGGAGCTGTGCTGTGCGCTGAAGCATGTTAACCAAACATCACAGGCCACTGTTAAGAAATGGGTGAGAGTTCTGTGAGTTATCCGGACTATTTCCTGTATTTGGCACTGGCCGTGCAGGGTTTAAGGTGGCCCATTTCCCTTGCAGTCCTCCAGGATCCCTTATGAAGGTAAAAGAGAGTTTAACTTTTTGTAAAAAAAAACCCAACAACTTCCCTTAACAATTCAATGTCAAATAATTTTCTGAGTTGATCCTGAAAGCTAGGGCAAACTCTACAGGAAGCCATCAAGTACAGAAACATTTAATTTGCTGTGAACACCTACCG